CTCTCGTTCAGTCGCCAGCAGCAGCGCGTGTGGGCATAGACAAGGCTGTGCACGTCATGCAAAGCCCAGCGTGACGTCGAAGGATACTACTCGGCATGTTTCGCATGGCGTGCTCGGGTTCATATTCTGGTTCTGAGCGACACCCAAGGTGCATTGTATCGGCAGCGCGGATTCATATTGCTGTTCATTGTTTCTGTGTACGAAGAGCACGAGACGCTAGTGGTAGTCTCGACCTGATATCAGGCTCTGCGGTCTCTCAGCTCGGCAATTCATCGCTTGGTGTCGCCTGCAATTGCATTGACGTCTATCCCAAAAGGTCATTTTCATGATGACACAGCTCCATGGGTCATGACAGCTCTCAGTTGAGGCCCAAGCTTCGATTCGGACGGCGTCAGAGATTGGTCGCTTAGGAGCACTCGGGCAAGAAGGCAAAGTTCTCGAGCCTTGCCACCTCCAGCACCTCTAAGCGCGTTGATGCCTGGCGAGTGCGGCACGGGGTCGTCTTTTTTGTTGCTACGGCCGACAACGATCAACGCACGTAGCTTCTTGCCCACTTGTACACGTCATGCTGCAGCACTAGTACTCACTGCCCCGATTGACCTCGCTGTTGTCAAAGCTACCAGAAGCTCGCCCGACGTGACGATGATATCTGCATGCACGATGGCTCAATGAGCGCTTCAAAGAGTCGCAACTTTGTCTCAACCTTGAGGCGGATGCTCACGACACCCTTTAGACTCATTGCATGAATGGCCTATTGAGATCGCGGTGGGTGTTAAACAGACTTGAATTGCCCGAGTTGCAGCAAGGCCTCTCCAGACAACTAACAGTCTTGATCCAGCAAATGTAAGCTCTGGAGGCGAGATGGAACTTCCCAGCAACCGCGTCGTGTGTCGGGTCCCTCGTACGTCGTTTTCGTTTTCCCTTCAACCTTTAGTGCCTGACACAGTCTCCTTCTCTGCTAAACATGTCTCTTGTTGACGACAGAGCTTCTCGTGGGCTTCGTTGTACTGACGACCTCATACAGCACCAACCGCTGCGGTGTTGAGTAGCTCGGCTGAATTCATCTCATCGCGTCAAGTTCAAGTTCCACCGGCGTCCTCTCACTTGCTGACAATGACGACATCAATCAATACAAGACAGTTCACTACACAAAACACTTGCGCCATCAGCCGTACGCAGCACGCGCTTCGGGCTTTGTCTTTGCAAACGCCGCTCGCTGGTGCGCGCCAAACTGCTTGTCGGCTTCGAGGAGGAACATCCGCAGCTCGTTCTGCGACGCACCGTGCAGATCCTGCATGTACGTTCGAATCTCGTCGGGCGAGCAGTCGTGTCCGGACGTAAATGGCTGGAGCTTGGTGAAGACCTTGAAGAGGAAGCCCGACTCGCACGGCTCGAGGAGCATCCAGCCGACTTCTCGCGCAATGTCCTTGCCGGCTTCAAATGGAAAGAGCTCGTCGTCTTCAACGCTCCGCCACACGAGGACAAACCGATTTGCCTCGTTGTAGCGCTTGACGATGACGTTGCGGACGCTTGTGCCCAGGGTGTAGTGGCGCTTGGTCGTAATGTAGGTGGTCGAGTCGTCGACCGTGGTGAGCACCTCACGGAACCCGGTCGGCGACGCAACGAGCACCGCTCCGCTCATAATGTCCCAGATGACGCGGGTCATGATCTCAAAGTCCATGGGCGTGTCCAAGCGACGAGGGAGGCGGGCGCAAACGCGGGCTTGGATCTCGAGCGTTTGGTGGAACACGCGTGTCTCGAACGAGTGGGGCACGGCGCGCGCCTCAACGAGACCCGCCTCCAAGAAGGCGCTGCGCAAGTGTTGGCGCTCGCGGTCCGCCATGGCGTGGTAACCCGAGTAGCGCAGAAGCGGGTCCGCGCCAAGGCGGAGGTGCTTCCACGAGTCGTTCGGGTCCATCGCAACGGCGAGCGGGCGTGGCGTCTTCTCGATGAGCAGCGAGAGCGCCTGCGCGTGCTCGGTATACTCCTTCACAGCAACCTTGAGCCGACGGTTCTCGGTCATGCTCTCGCAAAGTCGCTTGCGCTCCGACTTGGCGAGGCGTGCCCACTCGCTCGTTGCGGGGTGGGCTGCGTCTGCGAGCTCGCGGGCTGCGTGGAGCGCGCGCAGCTGGCCCCGGAGCTCGGTCACTTGGCGCTTGAGCGACGCCGCCTCGGCGTGCTGCCGGTCCATGTAGCGCTGGTACGGCGACCGCTTGGGCGGCGCGACTTGCGTCGAAGCGTCGTCGTCATACTCGGGCGTCGACAGGAGCGCGTCCATTCGTGTACTATCAAAAGCGCGTTACGCAGAACAAAGAAATGACAAGGAAGGATTCGTGTTGCTTGCGATTGGCGCCAGTGAGAAAGCTACTCAGTGACCGCCCACGAGCTGACACGTTGCAGGTGCCGCCTCTGACGACGACCTTGATATTACTTTGGGTGTTTTGCATGGGGCTGGGAAGCGCCGGTGTCATGATGGCGCCGCGATTTCTTCGAGCCGTTGGCAACCGCCAGCAGCAACTTTCGTGCTACGGTGGAGTGCACCTTTGGCTCGTCGCTCCACGATGTACGCACCAGATGGTTGTGCAATGGTGCTGCTCCCTCTCGCTGCACCTCGGCGCTCGTCAACATACTTGGTATCAACGCGTGTACACCGAGATCCAACGCCACACCGACGGTAGAATGGCCTTGCTGAAGTGATGACTGTAGCATCCAACTGCTCAGCAAACCTGATGGCTTGTGCCGCTCGACCCCATCGGCGGTGTCTGCTCCGTCGCTGGGCGAACAGAAGTGGTGCCGACTTGGTGGAGACACGCAGTTGTATCATAGATGTAGCCCAAAAGGTCCATCGAAGTAGGCCTCGCGATCTTCTTTCGCGTCGCGGCGACCGCGCGAGTAGGCGCTTGTTCATGGAAGCCGAGTGATGTAGTCAGTTGTGGACGTTGCGTCTCGCATTGCTCGAACACGACGGGATCTTCGCAAGATTCTCCACAAAGTCCAAGGTTCCCGACTACAACAACCTCGGACCTCAAAATGCAAGCCGTGCATGCGACCACTCGTGCAGGACTTCAGTACAATACATTGTCGTCACAAGGTAAAGGGAATAGCGGGCTGCTTGTGCAGGAGCTCCGAGACGCTATCGGCAAAGTCGGCTTGTTCTTGCACCGCAGCTCGCAATCGTCGGTTCTCAAAGATCGCGCTGAGCATGCGCCGGCGCTCGTCCCGCGCGAGCTGCCAGTACTCACACGACACTGGGCGATGCCCGATATGCTGCACCGCTTGTAGCGTGCGAAGAAAGTCTTCGAGGTGGCGGATTTGAACCCGGAGCGCGTCGGCTTGAGCCTGCTGGCGGTCCATGTAGCGCTGGTACGCCGAGCGCGGACGGGCTTCAACGAGCGTCGTCAAGATGTCTTGCTCCTCGGGCGTCAAGAGGTGCGAGATCGAGTGCGTTGTCCACGATACGGGCATCGCGGGCACGAGAGCCGGCGGCTGGCGACTGGTCATGGACTCAAGTCGGAGCGAATTGTATACTAACGCCATGTGTGCAGCCATCCAATATTTCACCGGCGCTCCGACAAGAGTCCACGTCAGCTGCACCCCAACGGCTCCCATGAAAATCGAAGACGCAGAGATGGCTGTTCCAAGCAATCGTATACATCCACTGAATGCATCCACAAGTGACTTGGTGCACGCGGCCACACACAAGTGGTGGGGCGCGACTGGACGCACCTTCGATGCAATCAGTAGCTTGCCTCCCATGGCGTGACATCGTTCTCGTGCATACTGACACGTCATGTGATTAGTCAAGATGGACGGTTCGCACGTCTCGCCGTACTGGACGGTGGTCTGCGATCAAGAAATAGCTACTTACATCTCAATGTCCCACGACTCCTCTGGGCGACGCGCTCCTTGACCTCGTTCGTAACGACCTCGGTCGCGTCGCTAAACGTGCTGTGGATGTCGACGAGGTACTCGCTAATGAGGCGCGGTGACATGTCGCCGTTGCTGGCGCGGAACGGCTGCGTCTTGTGAAAGTACTTGAGCAAAATCGCGTTGTGAATCGGCTCGATGGTGCACCACATGACCTCTTTCGAGACGTCGCAGTCGGTCGTGATCGGGTACAACTCGTCGCGTTCGATGCTGCGCCCGACGACGACGCTCCGGTTTGCCTCCTTGTAGAGCTTGTAGATCATCCGGCGCTGGGTCGATCCGAGTCGGTACGGTTTCGTGTTCATCGAGTATGACACGCTGTCGTCGACTTGGTCGAGGAGCACACGCGTTTTGCTGCGCGTTGGGATTTTGACTGCACCCCGGAGCACGTCCCATAGCGTCGCAGAGACGAGCGCGAGATGCGTGCTCACGTCGGTGGCGCCATTGAGCGGTAGCGCCACCGCGTACTTGGATTGAATCTCGAGGGTGTGGCCATGTAGACGCGGCTCGTGGCTTGGCACCTGCGTCTCCGACTCGATGAGCCCAGCCTCGATGAACGCGCTGTTGAGAAGTTGGTATTCGCGGTCGACGATCGCATGGAAGGCGTCTCGGCGCGCGCTCGGTTCGCGCACCAAGTGCAGCTCGCGCCACTGGTCGCGCGGGTCGGTTGGAAAGAGGCAGAGCCGGGGTTTCTTGCGGAGGAGCGAGGCGAGCGACTCGGCAAAGTGGACTTGCTCCTGCACCGCAGCCTTCAAGCGCTCGTTTTCAACAAGCGCGTCATGCTGCCGCTTGCGCTCGTTCTGTGCAAGCTGCTTCCACCGACCTGGCGGATGCACGGCCTCCTCGACTTCCTTGTCGAGCATGAGTACCTCGAGCACGCTGTGGAGCTCGGTGATCTTGTCTCGGAGGTACGCCAGCTCTTCTTGCTGCCGGCGCACGTGGCGCGTCGATGCAGGTACCTTGGCGTCACTGCCGTTGCTGGACGGTGGCGCAGCGTCCCCGTCCTTGTCCCGCGACTCCATCTTGCTTGAATGCTCGGAGAACCTCTGCAAATTAATATCGCTTGAACACCTGCAGTGGTGGACTGACCGTGCCCTTCTGCGCCACGCTTCGCCAAGTGTATTTAGCATTGGTACTCGTCGTCGTTGGTGTGAATCGCAACAGCGCCTAGCAATCGATAAACTGAGACTTGACCAACCGAGCGCTGCATACAGGCGATGGCAACGTACCATGCGTGTTGCTTGGCCATACCCTCCAGTATATGATGCGATGCTATTGTAGTAGGCTTCAGTACAAGCTGCGCTGCAAGACCTAGATCTCTCCACGCCGAGCCAATTGCGTGTCGAGTACAGACACAAGAGGTTGTTGTTGGGTTTGGCCACGTTCTCGAAGCGTCCTTCGCAGCAATAGGCACCCCAGAGCCTCTGGGCCAGAGGGCGCGCTCGTCAATACACTGTAAACCCCGCCAAAGTAACTCCTCCTGGCCCGACTTATCGCGGTCGATAGCGCCCAGGTCTCCAGAGTTTTTGATAGCACGCTTGTCGTCCTCGCTGCTCCGAGTGCCACGTATGAAGTAGTCATGGCCAGGCAAATATTACTTTACAGAGGTTTCAAGCACAGGCCAATGGCGTCGCTTGTGTCATTGAATCGCCGAGACGATGGAAGCCCTCGAAGCGTGCGAAGCGTACAAGGCCAAGGCCCGCGCGTGCTACGGCAGCTGGTTCGACGGCCTCCTCAAGGGCAACTTTGTCCAGTCCGACTGCGACCAGGAGACGGATGACTACAAGCAGTGCATCCTCGTACGTCCACTGCTGCCATCACGACCGCATTCAAGCGCTGGCATAGGAAAACATGGAGAAGATGAAGAAGGATACCGCCGCCAAGGCAAAGGCCCAGAGCGACGGCAAGCCGTCGGCGTAGACGAGTCTCAACACAATTCAACTGTAGACGCTTTGTTCCCATAGCTTATACGGTCCAGGGCTCGCACTGCATCCCCATGAGCTTATCGATTTGCATCTTGATCGCTTCCTCGAGCGACCGCGTGCCTTCCGTGTACGCATTCATCAGATAGTCGGGGACGACACCGCCGGCGACAAGCTCGCCCGGGCGCAGCCACGCCTTCTGCACGAAGCGGCCAAGCGCAGCACCGCTCTCATCGACGTCAAAGGCGAGCCACGAGACTTCGTTGCACGTGACATAGGCCGGGTCGAGCGGCAGCAATTCATCTTCCATGACGCTCCGGCACACAAAGACGCAGCGGGATGGCGACTCCATGTACTTTTTCACGACCGTGCGCGACTGCGAGTTGCCGAGCTCGTGGAGGCAGTACGAGTTGGTGTAGGCTGTAGAGGCATCAATGTGCTCCAAGACCGTGTAGTGGCCGGGGAACGCAGAGACTTGGACGGCGCCGCGGAGGACGGCCCAAGCAGCCTCGGCCACGATCGAGAGCGGCACCGCAAACCGCCCGATCACGATTTCTTCGATTTCAATGTTGCCATTGGCAAGGAGCTGGGGCATCGCGCGCCGATGGTCGCCGTGCGCAAAGTCGATGATGCCGACCTCGATGAAGACGCTGTCCATCTTGGCGTACTCGTGGTCAACCAGGGCGTGGTAGGCAGCATGACGCGCACGGGGCTCGGCCACGAGCTTCAGGAGCTTCCATTGCTGATCTTGGGCTGTGTCATCGAGTGTAGGTCGTCGCTTGAGGATCTCGACAAGACACTCGGCAAAGTGAACTTGCTCTTCAATCGCCGTCTTCAAGCGCTTGTTCTCGTGCAGCACGTCGGCCTGCCGCTTGCGCTCGTCCTTGGCCAGCTTCTTCCACTTGCTATCGGGTTCTGGCGGAAACATGGCTTGCGTGAGTGTGAGTTGCGTGAGCTGGCCTTGAAGCTCGTCGACCTTGCGCTTCAAGTAGACGAGCTCGTCTTGCTGCTTCTTGCGGTGGCGCTGCGTGCGCTGCGACGCGAGCTTGGAGGCGTGGCGCCGCTTCGCCTCGGGGCTCGAGGACGACAGCGATGACGGTGTAGGGCGGATGACCTCGAGGATCTCGAACTCTTCGGCCGTGAACTGCGGCCCCGGCCACGCGCTGCTATTCATGGGGATGGTAATGATGATGTGCAGTTGGCAAGTACGCCATCGAGCTGCGCCATCAGTAGTGAATCAATCAGAAAACCTCCCAAACTTTATGCTTGGGCACGTACCGTCTGTCGGAATGATGGTGCCGAACTGGGTTGGGCGTTCGCTGATTGCAAGCGTGAGCTGCGTCAGGTCATCGTGGCGCGCCGAGCGCAATACGATTCTTGTCTTTCACTGCATTTAGCCACACGGATGCCACAGCCGCCGGGCCACTGCAAACGCGTGTTATAATCCGCCACTCGAAGCCAGGGTGACGTGGCACGCCAGTAGTGCGTGGTGACTTTGTGGGCGGTTGTTTGGGACGCCGTTATCACATACCGGTACTGCACTTGAACGCAGAAGATGCAAGCGCATCGATAAGACCATGTGAGTCACCACGAGTCATATGCTGGTATCTTTTTCACGGGGGTATCGTTAGGCAGCTCTAGCTTCAACGGTGGGTCGCTCGTCACCGAGTACGCATTCATGATCACTACCATTGAAGCACAGGTCATTGCAGCACCGGTCTAAACTCATGTGCATGTGTTGAGTGGATCACAACATTATCCTAGTACAAATGGAACGACCTGTGCGCAAGAAACACTGCTGGAATGAACAATGCAGCAATAGTTATACCGTCCACGGTTGGCAGCAGCCGCCCATGAGCTTTTCAATTCGAGTTTTGATCGCGTTCTCAAACGTCCGGGTGCTCTCTGTGAAGGCGTCCATCAGATAGTCGGGCACGACGCCGCCTGCGCCGAGTTCACCGGGACGCAGTCGAGCTTTCTGGACAAAGCGCCCGAGCGCAACGCCAGCCTCGTCCATGTCCAAGGAGAGCCACATGACTTCGTCGCAAATCTCGTACGCAGGGTCGAGCGGCTTGGCTTCATCTTCCATGACACTTCGGACCACAATGACGCAGCGGGATGGTGACTCCATGTACTTTTTCACGATGGCGCGCGACTGCGAGTTGCCGAGCTCGTGGAGGCAGAGCGCGTTGATGTATGACGTCGAGGCGTCGACATCTTCGACGATCGTATAGTGGCCCGGAAAGGCCTGGAGCTCAACCGCACCGCGAAGGACGTCCCAAGCTGCCTCGGCCACGATGAAGAGCGGCACCGCAAAGCGGCCGTAGGTAATCTCTTGCACTTCAATGTCACCGTTGGTGAGCATGACTGGCATGGCACGCCGGCGGTCTCCGGCACCGACGTCGACGATACCAGCTTCGATGAAGACGCTGTCGATCTTGGCGTACTCGCGGTCTGCGATGGCGTGGATCGCTTCGAGGCGCGCAGTCGGTTCGGCCACGAGCTTGAGAAGCTTCCACTGGTCCCGTGTTTCTTCGTTCGCGAGCGTCAGGCGCGGTCGCTTCTTGATCATTTCGACGAGACACTCAGCAAACTGCACCTGCTCTTCGATGGCCGCCTTGAGGCGGCTGTTTTCATTTGATACGACTTGCTGTCGCTTGCGCTCGTCCCTGGCCAGCTTCTCCCACTTGCTCGCTGGCTCGGCTGAAAGCGCCTTCTGTGATACGGTGAGCTGCTTGAGCTGGGCTTGCAGCTCGTCGACCTTGCGCTTCAAATACATGAGCTCGTCCTGCTGCTTCTTGCGGTGGCGCTGTGTGCGCTGCGTGGCGAGCTTGGCAGCATGGCGCCGCTTGCGCTGCTGCTCGTCCGACGACTCGGAGCTCGTGGATGACGTCGACGGGCAGATGACGTCGAGGATCTCGCACTCCTCCAACGTGAGCTCGAGGCCCGACCACGCGCTCGTGCTGTCCATGGCGATATGTTCAAAGGAGACTGGTGCCGCCTGTCTGACGAGCTCAGAGCCTCTCAAAGTAAATAATTATCGGATTTCACCTCTAAGAATGCATGAATCTCATTTTCAGCGCCAAAGTGCATTCTGGGAATCATGTAAAATGCAGGTTCCAAGCTACCGTGAAAGACAAATTATCGACAAGAGGGATCGACATACTGCGAATGAACCAGCGAACGCGCAACGTCGCTTCATGGGTCTTGCGGGGCACGCTATTTTTCGTCCGCGTGTCCCAAGCGCATCGCCAGAGTGATTGTGCTCACAGCGTAGGTCAACCGTGAAATTCACTCAGTACTGCCCGTTGACGCAGATAGTACAACAGGCTAGTCGATTGAACGATGAACAATAGACTAACGAGCTGTTATTATGGTCGCTTCTTGGGCGGCAGAGGTTTCGAGAGGAGCCGATAGAGCTGCGTCTTGATTGTGTGCTCAAACGTCATGGAGCTTTGCTCACAGAGCTCCATGAGGAACTGGCAGAGCGCGAGGTGGCTGCGGTCGTTCTGCTCGTCGGCAAAGTACGTGGGCTTCATCCGCTGAAAGTACCGTGCCCGCGCGAGGCCCGTTGTCGGATCGCAGTCAAAGGCGACCCACGACACCTCATTGGCAATCGCGCAGCCGTCGACGAGCGGGTGGAGCTCGTCTTCGTGGATCGAGCGGCTGATGATGACTTGACGGTTCGCTTCAATGTACCGCTTGACGATCATGCGTCCTTGGTACCCGCCGTTGGAGTGATACCACATCGACGAGATGTACACAGTCGACGGGTCGACTTGGTGCAGCTGCTGGTACGAAACGTGGGTGCCCGTCGTCGTCTCGAGCTCGACGGACCCGCGGAGCACCTGCCACGAGGCTTCAGCGAGCAAGTTGAAGTGCACGCCGTACAGGATGAAGACGGAGACTTGCACTTCGAGGGCACCGTTCACAAGCTTGGGGACGTACGAATGTGTCTCTTCGTGGAGGTCGATGAGCCCACCTTCGATCATGACCGTGTCGAGCTTGGCATACTCGCGGTCCACGATCGCATGGAAGGCCAACGCCCGGGCTGTTGGGTCAGCGACAAGCTTGAGCAGCTGCCATTGGTCGTTCGCGTC